ACCCATCTATGGCTCACTCAAGTGTTTACAGGGCTATGTACGAATTTTCAATGAGTAGGGCACATTATCTGAGATCTTGATCCCAAGTGAATATTTAACCATGGGAAAAGGGTAAATCTGGTCTTCACATACCAATATAGTAAAGAACACCATGGTAAAGCTAAAATCACTTATAGAAATATTTCTTTCCCTTTACAATCTCTGCAGCAAAGCAATAACTGATAAAATGGAAATAAATGTTACAATCTGGGACTTGGTGTTCATTTCAACAACCTAATAGGAACAACATATACAGAAAAAATAAGGTTCTTCAAACTGCTCTCATTTTAGGAACAAGCACACTGCCATTTGTGTTACTGCTGGGTAAGCAAGCTAGGGTAAATCCTAGCTTGGGCAGGGATGCTCTGTTCTGGCTCAGAAAACCATCCAACAAAGGCACCCACAACAGCACACAGCTTTTCAGGATGCTTGTTTCTTAATAAACCAATTTCTAGGAATGAGGCAAAATAATCTCTTGCATAGCACACCCCAAAATTCAAAAGTAAGATATTTAATAATGTAATAATTTAATTACCAGGATACAGATGCTTTGAATGGCTAAGTAGGTCACTGTGTTCACAGGGCAGATGTCAGAACTGCTTGCCAGATGACAAAAGATACAACCCTGGGCTGTTTTTATTCTACTTATACAACAGCTAACTCACACATTAGAACCTCTGTTGTTTACAGCTGTACTCTAAGGATCTCTTAGGAAGCTCCAAGAAATTCCCCCGTGCCATTTACACCTTCAGAACTTAAAATAACCTGCGCATATGGTCATAGGAGTCCGACAGACACAGTCCTGCACCCAGCCAGGCAGAGTGGCTGTAAAGCAGTGCGCGTTTTAGTGGCATTTTGTGCCTGCTGCATTCCAGCACTTGTGATCTAGTAATTTGAATATATGTGTACCAAGACCCTGCAGTCCTTCTCCTGCTTTTTGCATCCAGAATGAGCTGTCACTTCCTGTGTAGGAGCATGTCCCTGTGCTATCCAAACATACCTCTCCTCACTTCAGCTGATCCCCAAACCCCACTGCCCAGATAGACACTCTCCTTTCCTTAATATTGGCTGTGTTCTCTTCCCCCAACTTCTCCCTTATGGTCCCCCAAATCTCTCATCACCTCTGCAGAGCTTACGATGTCCCCTAAAATCAACTATTTCCAGGCCCCACCATCTCTTTCGGTACCCCATCACTGGTGCAGACCCTTTCTGCGGTTCCTCACTCCCGTAGACACTTCTAGGGACCCGTACTACCTCTGCAGACCCTCCCGGTGGCTCCTAATTACCAGCGCAGCTTTACCGCTCCCCTCCTACTGCTCCTGCAGACCCTCCAAGACTCCAGGCGACCCGCCCCACACCCCCGTTATCCACTTCTCTGGAGCAGCCCCTCCCCGCGGCCGGCGCCCTCGGCGAACCCTCCCAAGACCCTCCCCCAAGGCGCGCAGCCCCGCCCCCGCCCGGCCTGCCCGACTCACAGGGCATTCGCGTGAGCACGTTGCGCGGCGCCTTCCTGCTGCGACCCGGACCCCGCCGGCGTGCCCCGGCGGTCCCGTCCTCTTCCTCCTTAGCCACCATTAGACGGCGGAGGCGCTGGATGCGCTCGGGGTCCGGGGCGGGGGCGTCCTGGCGGCGGCGGGTCCTGCCCGGGGGTCCGGCGGCGGCGGGGCCCCCCGAGCTCGCGGCTGCGCCCCGCGCCCGCCCGCGCCCACCGCCCCTGACCCCGGTCCTGAGGAAGCTTTCGTACTCGGCCAGGTTGTTGAAGCAGGGGGCGTTGGGGTAGGGAATAGGGGGCAGGCGGGGTGCGTACAGGGCCAGCATCGGGTCGAAGCTGTCAGAGCTGACATCCAGCCGCGGGCTGGGCGGGCCCGCTGGGCTCCCGGCGAGAGCCGGCCTCGCCCCCCGCTCCCGCTCCTCCATGTTTGAAAGGCCCGCAAGCCGAGGCCGATGGGAGGAAGGAGCGGGGCCGCCAGAGGGCGGCACTGCGCAGCCGCGGCGCGGGGTCGCATTGCGCCGGCGCGGCCACCGGGGGGCAGCATCAGTCCGCGCTGGGGCTCTGCCAGGGGGTGTGGCAATAGGCTGCCGCCTGCGGTGGGGCCTCGCACCGTCTCCACGCACTTCTTACAGGTTAACGCTGTCAACTGATGTTTAATCTGCTGTAATGCGGTACTTCCCCAATATCATTATCACTTAGGGTGTTTGTTATTACTCCATATCCCCCGGGGGCGCAACCTAAGATTGGCATTTTAACATCCTCAGGCATTTCCTGAGGATTAAGTTACTACATATACACAATAAATGCATATGCAAGCCGCCAGTAGTGTACAATGGAACTGTGAAGAGTGGTGCATCCCACTCCACATTCCTTTTTCCTACGATAAAGAAAATTGCATCAAGACTGGACAGAACTAAGTATTAAAGAAAATCACTTTTTTTTGATACTAGGGATTGAACCTAGAGGAGCTTACCACTGAGTTACATTTCCAGCCTTTTGTTTGAGACAGTCTTACTAAATTGCCCAGGCTCAATCTTGAGATCTTTCTGCCTTAGCCTCCCCAGTCACTGGGATTATAGCTGTGCTCTCCCCATCTGCCCGTTTACTGCTTATTCTAGCATTTCTTAGTAACTGGAACAAGAATTTACAGAACTGAACTTCTTATTTTGTAGCCTCAGTGCAGCAGAATTTTTTGTTTTGTTTTTTGATATTAGAATGACAGTCTACACTAGAGAATATTTCCTCATGCAGCAGGGCCAAAATGTTTCTAGTCACCTACACAAATTCCTTCCCTAACCAGAATGATTCTTCCAGACTGCTATCAATTAGTATTAATAACTCTACACTGGTTGCTGTTGTGTACAGTTTAAAATTTGGAAAGGAAACCTAAGAGAATGCTATAGAGAAAAGCACCATAGCAAGATAAAAATTAAGATAAAACTTGAGAGAGTGTGTGTGTGTGTGTATATATATATATATATATATATATATATATATGCGCATTGGAAGGAATACATATCACAACAAAGATAGAATGACCATCAAGCAACGGCTTCTAGCTTCTAGGTAATGGCATTATGGTTTCCTTAAGGCACTGGTATTAAGCCCAGTTTATTACTTTAAACTCTGTAACCTGAAGTGGGTGTGGCAGTGCATGCCTGTAATCCAAGCCACTGTGGAGGGTGAGGCAGGAGGATGGAAGGTTTGAGGCAAGCCTGGGCAATTTAGTGAGACCCTTGTCTCAAATTTTTAAAAAAAGGGCTGGGATATAGGTAAATGGTAAATCACCATTTACCCACCAATGCCCATTACCAAAATAAATAAAACCTCCAGCCTGAACAAAAACTCAAAAAAGCTGTGGGATTGCTGGCAGTCCAACAAATGAATACTTGTCCCACACATTCTGACAAAATTGAGTGACAGGTTTCATGGTGTCTCATAAGACCTTCAGAAAGTACAAATTTTCCCTGGTGTTTTTTGTCTTGAAAATTTGTACATTATTTAATGCCTACTTATCCATGTTTAACATAAAATGCTACCAAATTACCATTGTTTGCTAATTAAGAACTACATTCTTATGCCCTCATGTAGCATATTAATATTCTGAGGAACTTGTTTGCCCAAATGCCTATATATCAGCAACCATATACATCAGAGGGCAGACTTTGGAGTTAAAAATCAGATTGCTAAACCCCTAGTTTATATGAAGGGAATCCTCAAACAGGTTTTGTTTTTTTTTTTTTTTGGGGGGGGGGTACTATGGATTAAAACTGTTTTACCTCTAAACAACATTCCTAGCCCTTTCTGTTGGGAGACAGGGTCTTGAAAAATCAAAAATACATTTCCTTCTTGCTGAGGTTGGCCTCAAAATTTTGAGATCCTCCTGTCTTAGCCCCTTAAGTTGCTGGGATTACACCTATGCATGGCTCAAGTAGGCATTTAAAAAAAAAATCCCAAAAAATTTTTTTCTTTTTACATCTAGAAGTCCATGAGTATCTGCTGTGACAAAGGTATTTGCATCCTTTGGCTTACCCAAAGATACAAACAAATGTTAGATTCATTTACTGTATTTGTGTAAGAAATAAATAGGCCAAGGAAGTTGATGTCTTTATTTTTTTTTTTTTCAGACATTTTAGCAATTACCAAACATGAGATACTTGTTCTTTTCCTGTGGAGGGGGTGGGGGGACAGGAAGGAAAAAAATGGCATCGACAGATGGGATGTCAATTACTGAAGGATGAGGCCATCCGTCACACTTTCAAAAATACATTTTCTTCTTGGCTGTAAATTCTGCAATGCAAGACCAGCAACTGGGACATGGGCTGTCTCTTAATTAAATCTTAATTGAGCCAAATAATCTTCTTCCTCTAATATACAAAGTAAGGACAAGAGGAATGTAAAGCTACTCACCACCCATCCCCATGACTTACCCGCCCCCTTTCACACTTCAACAGCTCCCAGCATACCATCACCTCTGCAGGTCTCCTATCTCCATTGGCCCATTAGGAGGTGGAGTTAGTAGGACTCATTTGACAGCTGCCCCAAGGGCTATGTTGACCCCTCTGCTCTTGAATTCAAATGTCATTTTCTGATTCCATAGAGACTACTTTTGAATCTTTCAGGCAGCCGAACTGGAAGACAGCTTTTAAAACGGAAGTATCTAGAGGACACGGAGTAAAAAATGGTCTCCATTTTTACTCATTCTCACATATTTTCTTTATCATATATATATATATATATATATATATATATCTCACATGTACTTAGAAAAAGGTAAGTGGCTTTAGCCTATGCTTCCGGCAAGATGATGATCATCATTATGCTGGCAACTCCATAAAATCAGTCCTTGGAGGGTGTACACAAGGGTATCTAATACCACTACTCATTTATTCAGCCAAAACTGCTGATTTGGAGACTTGCACAAAGCCCTGAGTTTTCCCTGGAATATCTGGAATTCAGAGGCACCAGGCAGGTTTTAACTCATATTTATCTTCAGGTCTATCAAGATTATCCAAGTACATGGGTACAGAAGTGAGATATTCAAAGTCACTGGGTTCTCTAGTTAAGAATATGTGGGTGAGAGTAAAGTTTGGGCTTCTTTTCTATCATAGGTGAAAAGAGCTGACAGATTTTTATAAGGCTTATGCCACAATCTAAAAATGACTCATCTCACAAGGCATTAAATAGTTCTTACTTTATAAAAATAGTACCACGATTTTGGAAAAAAACCCACAGAAATCATGTTCTAACATTGCAAAAAAAGGTGTTCTGCTTAAGAGAACAAGATATACCACCCCCATCAATTCCTTCCTTCCCTGCTCCCTCCTAACTCAAGTCATGTCATTTCTGGTACAGTTCTGGGTGGCAGGAATGCTAGGGCCACCTAAGGCAAGAAGACCTGGGAGCCTTGCATGGTTAAACACAGCAGAATTAAAGAGCAGAGTGTCAGCTGTCTTCATAAAGGATTTCTGGATGTTCCTTCCAGAAAGCATCCCCAATGATATCACAGTGTAAGAGTACTGGCTTCGTTCTGGTCCGGGTTACAGCCATCTTTTTCCCTTCCATTTCTGCTGGCAGCTTAACTTCTTTTGTCGTGACTTCATCCACCTACAGGTAAAAGTCAAAGTAGTGACAATGTTAACACGAAAGAGGGTTTGGAAGAAAAGGGAAAATGTGGGGGAAGTTCACGTTTGTACTTGCTATACTTATAGTTGCATACTTTATGTGAACCACTTTACCAATCAGAAATACTCAAAAAAGGTTATGTTACCATACTTTGAAAAATGATGAGGAACAAAAAAGAGATTTCATGTTCCTTAATAGCAATGACTATAAAATTAAAGGTGAATTTCTCCTCTCTTACCTGCATTAAAAAGTAACCAAGTCTGTGCCAAAGAACAAATGTGTTTTGAAAATACTAATAAAAGAGATGATGTTGCCAGTAGAATGACTAGTTCTTAACTACCCAATAATACTTGAAAACATTCATTTCGGAAAAACTACATAGCAAGGCAGGAAATGAGTTTAGAGAAATAATTATGCTCAAGAGCTGATAAGAGAAAATATTGCTAGAATCAAGTATTTAAGTAAATGTGCATACTCATTTTAGAATATTAAGAATCATAAAATTTCTGGAAGTGAAAAAATCCTCATACACAACTTAGTGCTTCATTTTATAGTTGTCATAGCATGGACAATTTAATGGTATTATCCAGTGTGGGAAAAGCATTTTTTACATGTTCAAGGAATACAACAATCCTTGTACCTTTACTGTACTCTTTTGTTTGATATGGGAAGTGCTTATGACACAGTTAAGTAAGTACGCTAAATTTTAAAATCCCATGCTTCTACTTAAGGGAGATTTCAAACGACAACTGATGACAAAATGAGCATCCAAATACATAATCTACAGCTTGTTCTTTTGGGAAGGATCTAGTTCACCTTAGCACCTGGAGTCATATCAGTATACAGGCAGCAGGGGGGCAAAGCCTGGGATGGCCATGGGCTCTTTTCCCCTAACTGCCACTTTCCTTGAACATAACAGCATTACCTTCTGCCATATCAACACAGTCCCTTTCCTGTACATCAGCGGCTCATTATTGTAGTTGATCTTGAATTCAGAAAACAAGATCTCATTTTTATCTGCTGCAAGAGTTCCCTGAGGAAACAAACAGATAGGAAAAGCTTTGTGTATCTTCGTTCTTTTTTTTCTTTTTTGTGGTGCTGGGGATTAAACCCAGGGCCTTGTGCATGCAAAGCAAGTACTCTCTCAACTGAGCTGTATCCCCAGCCCTCTTCGTTATCTCTTAATGCTTCCTTCTCCATACTGTACAAATCAATCAAGAAACAGCCAGTGCTACAAAACATAGTTACTAGTGAATTTTCATTTTTAAGAGCCATTTGAATCTTATTTAGATGCCTATATTCATAAAATTCTCTTCTGTAGCAAACACTGGATTCACAACTCAAAGACCTTGAGGGGATAGGAGGAACTAAAAGTAACTGAGTACCTATTTTGTTTATTATTTGATCATCATAACACCTCCACTTTAATGAGAAAACTGAAGCTTAGAAAGATTATACAGCCAGATGCAGTGGCACTTGCGTATAATCACAGCTATTTTGGAGACTAAGGTAGGAGGACTGCAACTTCAAGGTCAGCCTGAGTAACTCACTGAGACAGACCCTGCCTCCAAGGAGAGGCTGGAGCTATAGATCAGTGCTTGCTTAGTGTGTAAGGCCCTGGGTTTAATTCCTAATACTATAAAAAAGGAGAGGGAGGGAGGGAAAGGGGAAAAAAAAAAGGAAGGAAAAAAGATAGGTAGATTGAGTATACAAATTATTGAAGCTTGAAGGTTGTCTTTATTTTTCTAAGAAAATCAAAACCTAAACTAGGGTCTTTCAAACTGAATATATCTACTAGTATTCCTTCTGCTGCTATAAAAAAAATCTTAATCATTGGTAGTAGTAAAAATGACAGCCATTTACTCAGTAATTAAAATGTACTGGGCATTTTATTAGGAGCAGTTACAATCCGTTAACTCATTTCAGAGTCTGTCATCCTACAAGTAGCACTAGTATCTAATAAGAAAAGCCAGCATTTATAAAGTATTTAAAATGTTCTTCACACCTTTCTGTGTGTTACATGCATCCTGCCACTTCTACCATAATCCTCTGACATAGGAACTATTCTTTTTTACATTTTACATAGAAATAACCAAGGCAGGATACAGTTATACTGAAGCATGATTCAAGTATAATTATTTAGCTACCAAAGCATGGACTCTTACTAAACAGTGGGGTTTTACACTCAAGAAAGGACAGGTGCCCCACAAACCTGGCATTGAGGGAAAAGGCCTACTGGAACTGAGAGAGCACACAGGCCCTGTCTGAAGAGGGCAGGCGGTATGTGGCTGCAGCTGAGTACAGAGCCAATACCACCAAGTACATTTTATAGCTGAAGTTCAAGGAGGCGCAAGAAGTACTAGAAATTCATCAGGCTTTACAGAGTAAGAGAGCAGCGGAATTGCTACTATGATGTTTATATCCTTTCAAATGAAGTTGTAAAGGGAACTAAAGAAGCATGAAAGGGAACATTAAAAAATGTTATGGGACAGACTTTAGGAAACCGTCCCTAGCTAAGCATTACAGTCGTAAGATCTTTATACCTGTAATCTATCTTTGGCTTGTACTGGTGTTAGTCCAGATTGTTGAATAAGTGCCCAGAAAACTGTATTATAAAGATTATTGATGTGACCTGTGAGAAGAACAAAACAGTAGTTTACATATATAATCTCTATTCAATATTCATACTTTGAGGACTTCTACAGCTATGCCTCTTTCTTCTCTAGAGATCTCAGAGACATTTAATAATTTGCCCAAAGTCCTGCCAAGAAACAAAGAATGGAAGGAGTAGACATAAACATATTTTTCCCTAACAACAGCTTTATTTGGTCATTTCAGTTACACTTTATATAAATATGAATACTCATTTGATTTATATAATTCCAATCTCTTTTCCAATTCTGGTAAAATCAAAATCGCCAAATGTGTAAAAAGTTTCATAAATATCACCATAGCCACGTAAGGCCTGCTCACAACTGAGTCTGCCATGACTGCAAATATGTAAAACAATGAGTAACCCAGGAAAACAACAGGGAATGGTACAGACTGGCACACTCCTTTTGTATGTGTTTAAATTTAGCTGCCACTGTACAGGTGTCCATCACTAAGGAGGAATGCAGATCTCGTATTGCTACATCTTCCCATTAAAAACAAAAAGCAGACAAGAGTACTTCTAAGAAATCTCCCAATTTTTCAAATATTTTTAACTAATTAAAAAATGTTTAAAATACTGCATTCTAACAAAATGCATGTGAGTCAAACCTGTATTAGATTGAGACATTTAATGCATGGAATTGCTGGTTTAATACATCTGTTTATTTGGTGTCACTTACAATCTGCTTGCCTCCAGCTGAGGTAGTCCTTTAAAGTCTGGTTGCTAGGATACACGACAACTCTTCCATCAAAGCCTGGGGGATACAGAAGAGGCTGGTCCTCAAAGTAATCTTTCCAATAAAACACATAGCTGGAGGCGAACTGGGAGGCCACATGAGTCATGAACTTACTTTCAAATGTAAGGCACATTGGGTGGAGCAAGAAAAGAGAAAATATATGATATTAATTCAACACCATGATAGGGCCTGCAGGTGCTACAGAGAGATTACACAAACCTTCCAGCAAGCCAAGAATTAAAATACATTTTGGCCAATTTCAGTTACATATTTTAATATATTTTATATATATGTTTTAAGTGTAGCTTATTTATTTTCAGTCCTATTATTTACTAATGCCAATTTAAATATGATTAAAATTTATGGTTCAATGTTTTTCTTTTGTATTATCTTTAGTCTTCAGAAGATGGAAAACACTGCTTTAAAAACATACTAATTCATTATGATTTGTTTCCTTTACAGTTTCAAAATACTGTCAAAAACCAAATTTGTCTATTTTATACTCAGATCTTCCTTAATAAAAATTTTAAGTATTACTGCAATGCATATAGATACTGACCAGCTAAAGCCAACCTATGAATCACTAATATTATAATTTTATGGTCTCTGTTACTAATCATGTCAGTCATCCTTTGTAGTCTGTAAGTCAAAATAAACAGAAAAATAGATGCTGATAGGAAATATTCTGAAGAAAAGAGGCAGGCCATAAATTACCTGGCTCTTCTTTTAAACCAATTGCTTTTCCTCCTGAACACAAAGCTGTATTCATCACTTTGTCCATATGCAATCACAATGTCCTCCAGTTCTTCCATTACAGTCTGGGCACATTTGTTCATTAGGTGGAGAGCACGGCTGTCATTAGGTTTTGCAAAGTTGTGCTTCTCAGCAAACCTTCACAGGGGAAAGAGGAGGGGGAAAAGCATGGAAAGAAGAGTTTTTTCATGAACAACACAGACTATGAAGGTAGTTCCAAGAGGAAAATACTGTAACAGGGCTACTAGCTACAATCTTGAACAACAGAGAAAAAAGGGACATAATTGCCACTACACCTCTATTTTCTTTTCTTTGAAATGAAGGTAGACATTAACCTGTTGATTATTAACGAGTTGTCCTGAAGATAAAGGAAAAATAAAAATGTAATATGCCTGGTTCCTATTAAGTACTCAATAAATGTTAATTATAATGATCGTTATTGCTGGGGATGGTGGCACACGCCTGTAATCCCAACAACTCCAGTGACAGGCAGGAAGATTGCAAGTGTCAAGGCAGCCTTGGCAACTTAGTAAGACCCTGTCTCAAAATAAAAAATAAGAGGTCTGGGGATGTAGCTCAGTGATAGAGCACCCCTGGGTTCAATCCCAATACCACAGACACACACACACAATAAGCATCACTAACAAAGCACTTCTTAAAAATTAAACTCCCATCTGTGTTAATTTCTTTCTCCCTTTTTTTTTCTTTGTTTATCGAATTCATTCCACGTGGCCTGTTACTGATAATGAAACACGGTTATACAGTAAACTGTTGCCCATAAGAAAGAAGGCCAACTCCGGCCTCTGAACAGTCAGCTCTCAAATATCTAACAGAATAGATGGGAAATACCGTTAAAAGTTAAATATTGTGCCGGGAAGTGATAGTTTTTCTCCGCCAGGACTTTGCTAACTGGTTTCTGCTCACTTAACAAGGGCGTTCCAGGCCAGCCCCTCACCAGGCAACCACCTTGTTCTTTTTAACTACCCAGACCAGCTCACACACAAGCCGGTTGGCGGCCCGCACGGAGGGAGACGCTCAATGCCGGGCGCTCATTGGCTTCCGCGTTACCGTGGTAACCATGAGCCAGGTATGTCGGATTTCCCGGAAACGCCGGCACACCACGCGGCCTTCAGCCGGGCTCGCTCACCGATGGAAATTCCTGCCGTCCAGCCGCACTACCACCCAGCACTGAGGGAGGCAAGTGTCGTCAGCCTCGAAGTCCCGTACGTACTCAAACTTGCTTTTTGCCATGGCCACCCCCAATCTCAGACACCGTTTCAAACTAACGGAAGTAGAGGCCAAGCAATCATGGACCTTAACAGTGCAGGAGGTCCACATTTCCACTGCGGAAGGGAGAGGTTCAGATAGCTCCGCCCCGGAAGTTCCTTTTCTTTTCGAGGCCGCTCTAGCCCTAGTGGAGGTCATCATCTCTCTCCCCTCTCCTTATGGTTCCTAATCCATGCGGTGACCAGGAGAGTGTTGCGGTTCTTCCACCCTGCACTGTTCTTTTTTCTCTTTACTTCCTACAGCATATCACTCTCACGAAGTTTTTAAACAAAATTTCTAGCCAAGTTTGAAAGCGTATTGTATTTTTTTTGCCCCTTTAAAGTAGCATTTATTAATTCATTGTAGAAAATATGGAATGAATACTTTTTATCCCCTCGCAACCCTTCATCCAAAAACATTGTGGATGGTTCTTTCTAGTTTTTTTTTTCTTTCTGTGTATATTATATTTAAACAGGGACACATAAATTTGAAATCCTTCACCTTGTACAATTTTTGTATTTTTTTCCATGGAGCTTGATTATTTTCCAATGTCATTGATTATTCCAAAGTGTGCTTTTTAAAGGAGAAATACTCTTGCCAGGCTCAGTGGTGCACGCTTGTAATTCCAGCAACCGGGGAAGCTGAGGCAGGAGGATTGCAAGTTTGAGGCCAGTCTCAGCTAGGGTCTCAGGAACTTAGTGAGACCCTGTGTCAAAAAAAAAAAAAAAAAAAGGCTGGGAATGTAGCTTAGTGGTAAAGTGCCCATGGGTTCTATCCCCAGTACAGAGAAAGAGAGAGAAACTCATTTCAATATTCCTACATATGGCTATACTAATTTAACTTACTCAACTCTTCCACCATTAAATATGCAAAGACCAAAAGAAATCAAAAACGTTTGATTTCTTGTTGCTATATGACAGCAACAATAACAACCCTCATGTTTGTAGGATGACTACGTTGCCCAGGCTGACCTTGAACTCCTGGGTTTAAGCAATCATTCTGCTTGTGCCTCCAGAGTAGCTGGGACTACAGGCGCTTCATGGTGTAACTGGCCATTAGGTGAATTTTTCCATTTTTCTTATCATATGAATTCAGTTTTTTTTAAAAAATATGTATTTTCCATTTATGTTAATTGGTCAGAGATGCGATGATACCCCAGATAATCATCCAGTTCCTTATTTCTAAATACTGTTTTCCATTAGAACAAACTCCACAATTCTTGCTCCAGATTATGTTACAAAAAATTCAAGGTGAGCCTGGGACCTTCTATGCCAGAAAGGAAGGAAATGTTCAAAGAGTAATGAGAAGTTATCAAAAAGATGAGCCTGCTGGGAGAGGTTGTATGTGACTATAGTCCCATTTACTTGTATATCTGAGGCAGGAGGATTGATTATGCAGGGCCAGTTGGAGAAATTTAACAAGACCTTGTGTCAAAATAAAACTTAAAAAGGACTTGGGCTATGTATTTTAGTGGTAGAGCACTTGTCTAGCATGTGTGAAGCCCTTAGGTTTGATCTGTCTCTGCAAAGAAAAATAAAGATGAGCTAGTTTGAAAGGGGTCTCCCTGGCTAAATTTGAGATAATTTGAGCATCTGTAAGAATAGTTGTAATTGATTATAATATATAAAGTAAATATAAATCAATAACTCTCTAACAGTACTCAGTGTGAAAAGCTCACTATATTGGAGATAATTATTACACTAACTTATTAAGAATTAGTTGTTAAAGAATTAGGCATTTTCCTTCCCTTTTTAGGTGGAATTATAGTTTAACCTCAGTTAATGTGGGAAAGTTCTTTGCAAAATGGTGGGCTTAGAAAATCAGCTTTTTGTAAATACCTGTGAAATAATGGACTCAAGTAAGGATCACTAAAGTATGCTAAAACTATTATTTATGAGATTTATGGGAAACAGAATGTTCTCTAAATGTTGTACTATTATCCCAACAATTGTTTGCTAATTACAAGGGAGAACTCTGACTGTTCCCTCCTTAAACTGGTCATTAAAGTTGGCATCACTAATAGTGACATGGTGCACATGACAAGCATAACACCGTGGATTAAAACTGGTTCAGCCCTTGAACCAGTGAGTTATAACTTTCCCCACAAATTAAAGTCAATTGAGGGGCTGGGGATGTGGCTCAAGTGGTAGTGCGCTGGCCTGGCATGTGTGTGGCCCGGGTTCAATCCTCAGCACCATATACAAACAAAGATGTTGTGTCCACCGAAAACTAAAAAATAAATATTAAAAAATTCTCTCTCTCTCTCTCTCTCTCTCAAAAAAAAAAAAAAAAAGTAGAGTTGTAAAAGCTCTCCTTGTGGGGAGTTGTGGTGGGGGCAGCATCACTTCCCTTGAAGAACGAACATGAGTTGTTCCTGCATCTGCAGAAGCCCAACATCAGGCTAAGGGCTGAAGGCTACACGTGTCTCATGATTAGTTAGAAGTTGAGGAAGAATACATATTTAAAAAAAAAAATAAAGTCAATTGAGGATACTTTTAAAATCCCCAATTCCTAGCCTGCACCCAGGTCTATGAAATTAGAATTTTTGCAGGTGCAATCTTTGCTCCCAGGATGGTATCAATGTGCAACCAAGATCAAGAAGTATGGATTTGTTGGGCACAGTGGTACCATCCTGTAATCCCAGTGACCCAGGAGGCGAGGGCAGGAGGATTGCAATTTCAAGGCTAGCCTTAGCAATTTAGCAAAGCCCTACACAATTTAGGAAGAACTTGTCTCAAATTTTGCCGCAGTCTGCCTGGGCACAATCAGGAGCCACTTGTCAAAAGAAACTAACTTTATTTTTAGAACCACACAGGCCAAACAAAACAGCCTCTCAGGAAAAACCCTCAGAGCCCCAACTGCCACCACTGGCTTCCCACAAGCCTCTCTCTCCAACACAACCCTCTCTCCACCTCCCACAATCCTCCTGCTCTTGAGGCCGATTGGCTGGGTCACATGGGTGGAGCCAAAAAAGTCCCCCAATGAGCAGCTCCGTGGTCTGAAAGGGCAGGGAAACAGCCCAATGAGCATCACCGCAGAGGAGCCAATCAGCTAGATGTTGCTGGGGCCGCTGTGAGCCAATCATCAGCCGGCAGCTGGAAGTTTTCTGGGGCCCCTTCGGCTGTGGCTCTCAACAAAATTTAAAAACCTGAAAAAGGACTGGGGATGTGACTCAGTGGTAAAGTGCCCCTTGGTTTAATCCTCATTACTGCGCAAGTGGCAGGGGAAGGGGCAGTATTTAGGGGTGATTCAGTATAGACAAAAATAGACTGATAGAAAAATCAAAAGTAGCAAAATGTTAACAATTCTTGAATCTAGTAGTGGCAATAGGGGAATTCATTACATTTTTTTTTTCAGTTTTTCTACATGTTATAGGTTAAAATCCCTCCAAAATAAGTTGAAGTCCTTACATACATACCTGTGCATAAAACTTTGTTTGGAATAAAGTCTTTGCAGGTATAACCAGTTAAGCTGGAGTCACTGCTAGGTGTGGGGGTATAGGGGTGCAAGCCTGTAATCTCAGCTACTCAAGTGGCAGGAGGTTTAAGGTCAAGTTTAAGGTCAGCATTGACAACTTAGACAACAAGTTAAGGACAAGTTTAAGGTCAGCATTGATAACTTAGAAAGACCTGTCTTAAAATAAAAAATGTAAAGAGCTGTCCCTAGCACTGAAAATATATATAAAAATATGTATTTTATACACGGACACACACACACACACACACACACACGGGGATAGGGATGTAGCTCAGTGTTAAAGTGCCCCCGGGTTCAATTCCCTATACTAGAAAAAACGGTAGGGGCAGTGATCATTAGATTGGGTTCTTAAGCCAGTATGACTGGTTTCCTTATAGGAGAACAGATAAAAAGAAGATAACATGTGAAAAAGGAAGCAGGATTAGAGTGACACACGTACATGCCAAGGTAGGCCAAGGACCGTCTTCCATCACCAGGAGCTAGGAGAGAGGCATGGAAATAGGTACCATTATTCTTACCATTTTACAGATATAAAATTGAGTGGACCGAAGTTAAATGGCCTGCTTAAGGTTACAGGGCCAGGGGGTGTCAGAGACAGGATTCCATTCCAGACATTTTAGCTGCAGAGCTTGTACTGTTAGCCACTGCTCAGAACCACATCCGTTTTTTCTGTTTTTGTTTGCCAGCTCTATAGCAATTTCTGTCTGTGCCAATCATTTAGTATCCCACTGAATCCTGGCCTCAGGGAGGTACATGGGTCATCCAACCCCTTAATTCTCAAACATAGTTTATTTATATACAACCATTGTGATTTTGTCATATCCATTTGCTATGGTTTGGACATAGTTTGAATGTGTTCCACAAAGTTCTTGTGCTGCAAGCTTGGTCTTCAGTGTAGTGATTTTTTTTTTTTTAATTTTTTATTCTGGGTTGTTCAAAACATTACAAATTTCTTGACATATCATATTACACACTTTGATTCAAGTGGGTTATGAACTCCCACCTTCACCCCATACACAGATTGCAGATTCACATCAGTTACACATCCATTGATTTACATATTGCCATACTAGTGTCTGTTGTGCTCCGCTGCCTTTCCCATCATCCACCCTCCCCCCTCCCCACCTCTCCCCTCCCCTCCCCTCCTCTCTCTCTACCCCCTCCACTGTATAACCCTGAGGGTCTCCTTCCATTACCGTGCAATTTCCCTTCTCTCTCCCTTTCCCTCCCACCTCTCATCCCTGTTAAATGTTAATCTTCTTCTCCTGTTCTTCGTCCCTACTCTGTTCTTAGTTACTTTCCTTATATCAAAGAAGACATTTGGCATTTGTTTTTTAGGGATTGGCTAGCTTCACTTAG